TTCAGCAGTTCCTCTGGTTTCCGCCTGTGGCTATTGGCTTTACAGGGTTTGAAGGAACATCAAAATGTCCTTCCTAGTTCCCCAGGCAGAACTACTGCTCCATAACCTTAACAGCATGGTATGTAGACAGAAAATCAGATAAGTTGGGCCCCCAAAATGTAATTTTTTCATGGAGTTTGCCAGGGGAGAATGGTGAAAAGGAAGCAGCCAGAAGGTGAACAGGACAATAATCACCAACGGTAGGTGAGAAACACCCAGTCTATTGGCCACAAGTCCTTCATCAGCTGTCTTGGACCAGATGAGGATTTTAAGAAAGAATCAGGATGAGAAACAAATCCTGGGTGCTAAGAAGTGTAACAGATACCAGAGAACAACTGTCTTCCTTGTCCCTGCAAAGGGAACCACTTCTCCCTGTGCCTGTGCATGACAGGGCTTTGCTGTCCATAACATTTTTCTTTAAGCCTCTCAGGCTGTGCTGGGAATACTTGCTTTACAAAAATATAACTGGACTACTTATGGAAATGAATCCTACACAGCATCAGCATTTTTCCCATCTGGTGATGACAAAGAAGAGCAGGCTGAGACAAAAGCAGTGCTTACCGGGAGGTGACTGAGTGGCACATCCACTTGGCCCAGGAAGTCGTCTCTAGTCTGTCAAATAGATAAAAAAGGCAGAAAAATGAGCAATTTTGCATCAGAAAAGCAAAAAAATGTTAAATATAAATCTAGTCATAACGAAGCAACAATAAAGATGGTAGAGGACCATTACTTTAGCAATTACTGCTTTCTGCCCCTTTATAGCTGCAAATGATTTGTTGTAATTAATCTATTTCAGCAGAGCATTTTCTGTGATAGTCCAAAATGGCTTCTTGTTAGTATTGGTGAAATGGTTTCCTCTGCCAACCTATGCATAATTCAAAGCACCAAGTAATGATCTGCACTTTCCATGAATTAGCCTCCACACGCACCAAAAAGCAGAGTGCAATTACTGTTCTACATGTTGTTGAAAGGTTCATGTCAAACCTTGTTGAGTACTTCTTTTAAAGAACACCCCATATGTAGATCTGACAGGGAAGGGAGAAGAACCCAGTATCCAAGCAGTGGCAATAGATCTGCAGGAACTCTAAACATTTTTTCCCCAAAGTAAAAGTTTGTTTTATCACTTTACTGAACCGAAACCAAAGCATTAGAACATGCTGGTGTTTTTCAAGAATGCTGTTCCTTCAAGTCAGAATGCTTTCTTTGTCAGGAGTAGCTGGACACCCCATAACCAGCCTTTTGAGGAACCCTGTGTTTCCCATCTGCAGGCCATCCACCTGCTGCTTCACAGTGACAGCAGCACTAGGGACACGCAGAGCTGTCACACATCCCCTTCTGCACAGCTTTGGATAAAGGCTTTAGAAGCCTGTTCCACTGATTACAAATACAAATGCTTCCAGGTCTCTAGACATGCACATGTGTGACAACCCCACATTTATCAATCATGTTAGTATCTTACCTAAATATGATGAATTCTAGCATTTTAATCTAGATTGGAAATTTTATATTCCACAGCCAAAGGACTGAAATAAGAATGATGACTATGCAATAATGAATAAGCATACTGTGTGCCTCAAAAATGCCTGTCAGGGAAAACAATTCCTAGATATCAGCCCTGATGATTCCCAAATAACTGTTGCTTATTTATAACCACACTGTGCACAGAATTCCAGGAAGTGCATACTGCTGCTCCAAAGCCAAGTTTACATATTTCTCATAGCAGAGCATTAAGTTTACTATTAAAATTCATATTTTATATTATAACATTGTAAGAATTCTGTTTCTCCTGCAAGGACAGCATAAAGTCCCATGCTCCCCAAAAGCATGGACACACACTGCTGTGACAGATGTCCATGGGACAACACAAAAGGAATATTTGCACCAAGGTGCCTGGATTTTTTCCAAATTTAAGTAAAAATGGTTGATAGATTTTTCATGAGAGAATTTTGATGACTAATCTTCTTCCTAGGAACTACTGGGAAGCCCTGGTCACATGCACTGCTTGCAAAGATTTAGTATCTCTTTCC